TGTTTGTTGGGTTGGCATAGATCGAGATTAGGATTTGTCACCCTGTGTATCGGAGAGGTATCTCTGGGCCCTCTTGGTAATGCACATCACTACAAGCCTTGCAAGCAATGTGACTAATGAGTTAGTTACGGGATGATGCATTACGGAACGAGTAAAGAGACTTGCCGGTGAGGAGATTGAACTAGGTATTGAGATACCGACGATCGAATCTCGGGCAAGTAACATACCGATGACAAAGGGAACAACGTATACTATTATGCGGTTTGACCGATAAAGATCTTCGTAGAATATGTTGGAGCCAATATGAACATCCAGGTTCCGCTATTGGTTATTGACCGGAGACCTGTCGAGGTCGAGAGAGAGGACAGCGAGCGGGATGAACTGCCTGGTCCGGTTACACGGGCGCACGGAAACGGTCGTCTCTCGCCGTCTAACGGTGTCCGTCAACACGTGCCACGTCAGCCCGACACGCGGGACCGACATGTCGGATTCACTGTTTTGTGGGCTAAAACGCAGCATCAGTGCTTCGCGTTACAGATTAGCCCCATTGTTGGTGGTTTTTGTGCCCTGTCTCAAATGTGGTACCGATCTGTTACCCTAGCCCATAATGCAGTGATTTTGAGTAAATAACTCGCAAAGTTATAACATTGCTGATACTGATATTATGCTTTTTGTTTAAAATAAATACGTGCAGAAGCATATGGCATCCAACTATGTGGATTGTGATGTTCCCGTTTGTGATGTCGGTCTTGATCTTCTTGACGCCTTTCATCAAGCTATCTTTAACTAATCTACACCAGTTGAAGGAATTTATCTCTGCCGGCACAACAAGTGTTGCCCAATAGTCAACGCTCGTGTAGTCGTGCTTGGCACAAAGGGTTTAGGACATGACCGAACGATAAAATTACAAATGCTATCTTGAAGCATTCAGAAGCAACTCTGCTTGAATTCTCGTCTAATGGCTTCAATATTATGAATTCAGCGGCCTTCAGGCTGTGTACACCTTTTGTACTAATGCTTGAGGCCAATCTGTTGATCTCTATGCATACTTCAGATAGGTCTGTATGTCCTGGAGGAATAATCCTACTCTTGGGGCAGACCAAAAGCGCCATTTATTTCTTGGTCGGTGATTGGTATTTTCCTAGTTTGATCTAGTGCTAAGATGCATTGCTCAGGGTCTACTCTGACCATCAGTGAAGAACTGAACTTCAAATTGAGCTTGTGTGTTATTTTCAATGCATGAGTTCCCCGAATCCAGTCTCGGTGACAAGCCCGCGTTTGAAGTTGCTAAATTGTGAGACAACACAACAAATTTTCTGGATCGATGTGCGAGAGGTAAGAATTGCATCAGCCAGAACATTCCTGCCAGGATCTTCGACGCTATCAGTGCTTCGGCTACCTGCGTCTTGAAGGGTGCCCTCTTCAGGGGAACTGGTTACGCTGCGCATCACGTTGAAACTATACGGTCTGAAAAAAGGGGAAAATACTCTGTGTTGAAATAAAAAAGGACGCGACTAGGGAGCACACGTGTGCTCCCTAGCATTCCGGAGCACACACCCCAAAAAGTTAAGTTTTTTTCCTAGTGCTATGTTGCAAAATTCACTTCAAAAAAGGAAAGATTTTGTCCCATGTGCAATTATTTTGTGTGTTCAATTTTCTTAAAAAGTCATAACTTTTGAACGGAGCATCAAAATTAAGATCCGTTTTCACCATTAGATTCTTGGCGACAAGCTCCTCAAAACTAGATCTCATATCGATATGTTTCGATGAACTTTGTTTCTTCGGGCAACTTTGGTGTCACGGGGAGGCAACTTTGGTGTCATTGGAAGCAACTTTTGTACTATTGTAGGCAACTTTCGGGTAGGGTGTGCATCATGGTCACCTATCATCCGGATGTTCTTTTGAGTTGGTTATGATGACTACCAATTTGCCTAGCATCACGTGTAAGTTGCCTACCATGACTTGCTATCAACTTTGCTGCTATATGAAGCACTTGTTGCCGGATTGCCTATCATGACTAAGTATCGACTCAATGCACTTACAAAGTTGGCTATCATGATTGTCGAGTTGCCTGGCGTCACCTATGAAGTTGCTTTTGTTGAACTTATTTTCTCAAGCAACTTTTTTGCCATAGAGAGGCAACTTTGAAATACAGTAGGCAACTTTCACCCAGATGTTCTTTTGAGTTGGCTACAATGACTACCAAATTTCCTAGCATGACATATAAGTTGCCTAGCGTCAACTATGAAGTTGCTTTTGACGATCTTTTTTTTCTCAAGCAACTTTGGTGCAACAGAGAGGCAACTTTTGGTTAGGTTGTGTATCATAGTCATCTATCATCCTAATGTTTTTTTGAGTTGGCTATGATGACTATCAAATTTCCTAGCATCACTTGTAAGTTGCCTACCATGACTACCTATCAAAGTTGCTGCTACATGACCCACCTTGTTTCTTATCATGACTACCTATCAACTCAATACTCTTATAAAGATGGCTATCATGACCTCAAGTTGCTTAGCATAACCAATGAAATTGCTTCTGATGAAAAAATTCTCAAGCTACTTCGTGCCACGGAGAGGCAACTTTTGTATTACAGTAAGCAACTTTTGCTTAGGTTGTGTATCATGGTCAACTATCATCAAAATATTCTTTTGAATTGGCTATACGATGACTACCAAGTTGCCTACCATCACCTATAAGTTGCCTACCAAGCTGCCTACCATCACACGTAAGTTTCCTACCATGACTACCTATCAACTTTGGTGCTACATAATGCACCTCGTTGCTAGGTTTCCTATGATGGCTACATATCAAATCAATGTTTTTGTAAGTTGGCTATCATGAACGTCAACTTGCCTAGCGCCACCTATGAAGTTTCTTTTGATGAATTATTTTTCTTGTCAGATATACAACTTTGGTGGACAGGAAGGCAACTTCTGAAATAAGGTAATCAACTTTTGGTTAGGTTATGTATCATGGTCGCCTATCATCCCAATATTCTTTTGAGTTTCCTAATATGACTAACAAGTTGTCTAGCATCACATGTAAGTTGCCTGCCATGACTATCTATTAACTTTGGTGATACATAAAGCACATTGTTGCAATGTTGCCTATATTGACTACCTATCAGCTCGGTGCTCCCGTAAGTTGGCTATTATGATTGTCAAGTTGACTAGCATCACATATTAAGTTGTCGTCGACAAACTATTTTTTCAAGCAACTTTGATGCTATGATGAGAAATTTTGGTGCTATAAGAAGCAAATTTGTTGTCAAGTTGCCTATTATAACTATATTAAACTAATGATTTTCTAATATGGCCATCATGACTCTCAAAACATGCTTCTAGGCGACTACACCTAGTAAATGTTGGCCACATGATCGGAGTGATCAACCGTAATGTGGGGAGGAGGCGGTCGGGGCATGCTGGCGGACCCCGCGCAAGGGGAGGGGGGAGGGGGTCAAGGACCACAACGATGAGGTGGCCGTCACGAAGCACGGAACGGGCGAAAGGTGTGGACATAGGCGGTCCAGGCCAGTGAATCGACATTCCATCATAGACATCCCCCCCCCCCTCCGGCACCGCCCTATTAGAAAACACACAAGGGACTGAGCTAGGTCCATGAATTAGCTCTTGATGTTTAGACTCCCTGGTTGTGCAGTCGTTTTGCTAATAATCTTTGGCAACTTGTGTTTTACATGCATCACCGTCCAAAAAAAATGATCATATATGTAGGAAACTTTTACCGAGTGATTTAGGCAAGTACTATTTATATTGAGGCAACTTATTCCATTGGAATAATCCTACTCTTGGGGCAGACCAAAAGCGCCATTTATTTCTTGGTCGGTGATTGGTATTTTCCTAGTTTGATCTAGTGCTAAGATGCATTGCTCAGGGTCTACTCTGACCATCAGTGAAGAACTGAACTTCAAATTGAGCTTGTGTGTTATTTTCAATGCATGAGTTCCCCGAATCCAGTCTCGGTGACAAGCCCGCGTTTGAAGTTGCTAAACTGTGAGACGACACAACAAATTTTCTGGATCGATATGCGAGAGGTAAGAATTGCATCAGCCAGAACATTCCTGCCAGGATCTTCGACGCTATCAGTGCTTGGGCTACCTGCGTCTTGAAGGGAACTGGTTACGCTACGCATAGGGGAAAATACTCTGTGTTGAAATATTTCGATTGAATCAAATTGGTTGAGATAAATCAGCATCTATTCGAACATATCGAGTTGCAGCCCGTGATAAACCAGGACTAGGCAAATTGATTTACAGATCTAGCACAAAAATAGTTAAGCAATTGTCTGTTTAGCTTCTGTTTCTTTTGAAAATAAAATTAACAATAAGGATATTACAGACAACATCGCAATTGAAAGCACAAACAAACAGAGGATGACTCAAGTCAAATCCCAAGCCCCCAGCCACAGCCGGGCAGACTCCTAGCACACGCCAAGAAAATAAGAAAGCAGCTAACCAATTCTGACAGAAAAATGACGGGTTGCAAGCACAAACAAATAAATCTGATATCACAATAAACACTTCCTGCATAGCTCAAAATTTTGATAAATTCCGCACCCACCCAGATGGAAATTTTGCGTCACCGACATGTCTAGAACAGGGTCTCCAGACAATGAAGAAAGGAACTCGAGAACAGGGTCTAGAGGTCCGTAATACCGACCCAACTTTCCACAGGTTATGATCTTAACAGAAGACAACCGCGGGCAACAGAAAACAGAAGGTGGATACTACAACCGACATAATACATATAGTTCATACAGAGTTTTAATAATACAGCTTGTATAATAGACAAGCCGGGTAGAGTAGGCGGTGAGACAATGAAGAAATGAACTCCAGAACAGGGTCTAGAGGGCCATAATAATCCTAAAATAAATAAAAGACAGGCAAAGGAAGGGGCAGACCAGCAGGCATGATAACCCACTACCCCCTCCACTGATACCCGGCACCAATGGCAGGTCATACAGCTTCCATCCATGCAACCTCATGAAGAAACAATCATCATGGCGTCGTCTTCTTTAGGATCTTCAACATCTTTAGCATGCTTCTTGCTAGGGCATTTCATCAACAGCACCCCTGGTCGTTTAGGCATTTGCTGCATACCTGGCATGTCAAATTCCACATGTCTTCAGTAATAGTTTGGGAAAGAAGAAATGGTCCACAAACAACCAGCGCTAACACAAACATTAATTATTCTATAAAACTCTCCATGCTGAAAGACTACTGAAAAAGCCCAAACTTGATAGGCATGTGCAACGCTCGCCCTATAAATGAATTACTACATGTCACAAGATAAGTGTGAATGGCTGTGGTGAGAAATTCACGGTTAGCAACCCCCTCCCCCTAAAAGAATTTGCTGGCATTTGACTTAATGGATAGTATTATGACCTATGGTATCTTATTTCGGTGGATTTATCCACCCTAAACCCCACACTGTCAATGTGTGAAATGATGCTGCCGTCACCCACTCCACCAAGAAAAGAAGAACATGCATGAATCTACTTGGTGGAGTTACCTGGCACGGGTTGGAGATATGCAGAGATCCTACTTGTGTCGTAGCCCTCGGCTACACAATAAGTCCTCTGAGCAGGGAACTCCACCACTTGCTCAGCAGTCTTGTTCTTCATGTCAACAGCAAGCACCCACGCTGTGTGTTGCCTTGGGCTGAAGTCAATCTTGGCGAGGAAGTAAACAATGGCATCATTCCGCAGGCTGAGTGTGGGGAGGCCAACGCAAACAGACAACGAGGAAGGGAAGGTAGCGACGGTACCAGCCGCATCAACCTTTATATGGTTGGAATCGAGCTTGCATTCCATGTGCCATTCCTTGGGCCAGGACCGACGGGCCTTCTTGATGCTCCATGCTGTGGTCGTCCAACGACAGGAGGGGACCTTAGAGGAGCTTGTGTTGCCGGGCTGAAGCAGCATGGCAACATACTTGATGGTGTTGCCAAAGACCGCAATGTCGCGAACAGACCTTGGATTGAAATCCCCCTCGCCGGGTTCGGAAGGCAGCTTCAGGTAGCGAAGCTTGGGGCGTTTGGCGAGAACGTCACAGAAGACGATGTTGCGCCAGAGATCCACCCAAGCCACGGTGCCATTGCTTCCTCCGATGGTGAGTGTCTTGCTTGGGAGGTGGATTTCTGGATATGATGAACCCATCACCACCGGCTTGTTGCTCCAGGTCTTGATAGCAGAGTCATAGATGCAGAGGTGAGGAGATTCTTTACCCCAGAAAATGTAGGATTTTGCGGCAACGACGAAGTCGGCCTCGGCCTCGGTCCCTCCATGTACATGTACATGGGGGCGTAGGCTGACGTGCTTGCTGGTGTTTTTGGAGCTTTTTTTGCTGGGCTTGCGCATGATGGCGAGCGAGAGAGGGCTGAGTCGGTGTTGGAAGCCGGGTTGCGGGAGTTGGTGAAGTTTGCGGGCGAGGGCGTCGTAGACGAAGTAATGGCAATTTCGGGGACGCAAGTGACTGGTCGGATAGTCGGGGTCGGCGGTGGCGACGCGTAGGAGGACGAGGCCGCCGTCGGTCTCGGTGGCCAGGATGTAGGGCGTGACGGGGAACTCGGTGCGGTCCATGTGGGAGGCGTGGACGCAGAAGTAGGAAACGAGCGGCGGGGCGACGGCGCAGAAGGTGACCTGGAGTCGGCCCCTGAGACTGGTTTCCCCGGCCTCCATATCGATGACGGCGGTGGTGGCGTTCTTGCGGTCGGCGAAGTAGGCCTTTGGATCGATGAGGACGAAGGGCGGCCGCTTGCCGCCGTCGTCGGGGCAGCCGTAATCGGGAGGAGCCGGTGGCCACTGCATGTCCTTCTCTTTGCCGCCGCCGTCGGGGTAGCCGTAATCGGCCATCGGATCCTCCCAGTCTTCAAGTTGGCCGTCAATCGATCCCAAATCGATTGCCTTGTTCAAGCTGGATGGATCACAAATCGCGGCTTCGTCTTGGCGGGGGTGTGTGGATGGATTTATGGGGTGGATTGGCACGATCTATCCGAGTTGGGTGGAGATCGATTCGAGATGAAATCGAATTGCAGTGGGAGTCGGAGTATAAGGGGATCAAGCCAGCCTACCAAGCCGACGTAGGGTGCAGCCCAGCCCAGGTCAGAGTGAAATTTAAGGGAATTAACACATGCATGCATGGGTTTCTCAAAAAAGGAAGAAAGAAAAGAAGCATATTGCCATCTACTCCCTCCGTTTCTTGATATATACTATTAGAGATTTTAAATATGAACTACATACGAAGCAAAATAAATGAATCTGCGCTCTAAAATATTTAGAAATCAAGAGAGTGTCTCTGTACTATGCACCGCAGTGAGGGAGGGCTGTTGTTGTCCGTCTGTCTTGTAGTACCCATTGGTTGGCTGACGGGGACCTTAATTAACTGAACACGGAATGACGGAAACATATATATGGTCAGGTGCGTAATGCATTTTCGTCCATATGCATGAGGAAGATCTGATCCTGGGATCAGACTCCCCCCCGGCGTCAATTTCGGTGTGGCATGGGTCCCATATTAATGGGACCCGGTAGACGCATGTAATGTTCGGCTTTAAACAGAGAACGTTACCAGATCACAGTTGTCTGTCTTTTGATGCTAGTATGGAGTGAGTATGTTGCTTCTTCCTCTCCGAGACTGTCCTTTCCAGCTCCGTGTAGTTTGTTCTGGAATTAAACTTTCTCATAACTCAGTTTCTATGGCTCTACTTTCTTCAGAAAAAAATGCTCCTTGTTTCCGGGCCACAAGCCCATGTTCCGTTTCATTTCTAGTTGATCCATTTCGTAAGGTTGATCAGAAGCAAAGGCATACTACTTTACTAGTAAAAGTAAGTTGGTCAAGTCAAATTCCCGGAAAATATCATGTGCCATCACAAGTGGGTGGTGCTGGCGAAACTACAACGACTGCTTTTGTGTTGTGACTAGTGCAGAAGCATATTCTTCTGTATTTGTGAGTCACCTCGTCTCGATCAGTCTACTCTCTGGTCGTTTTGTAGGCACACATCTGAGGTATACATACAAGGAGGGATGGCCCATACAATATAGCGAATACCCATTGGCAATGCCACAAGAGTTCAGGGACGGCCGTAGCTAAATTTTCATTGCTAATCTTACATGTTTGTGGTCTTCTTTTTTTCTTTTTGTCATTAATCACTAACAAAAGAACCCGTGCGTTGTAACAGGAGCAAAATCACAATCGCCTTACCCAATGGCTCAAAACCACATTTTAGTGCATCACTGTGTGTGTGTGTCATTGAGACATTCCACAGAGCACCAATCGTGTAAGTGTAATGTATGTACAGTCTTAATAAACATAAAAGGTGCATGTATGTTTGCATAGTACTGCTTATAAATAACATGTTCATTGTCATCCATTGGCATCGTTCAAGCTAGCTCGGCCCTAGGCGTAACTTGCTGCTAGCTTCGCCACTGTTGTCATCATAAGAGTTAATTGATTCAAATATCCAGATTAACTTCCTGATTAATTCACAAAGTGTAAAGAGCCATTACCTTCATCAGTTGATATATTATTGAGAGCCTAAAATCATGAGGATCATATGTATGTACACAAACTGAATACATTGATGAATAAATAGTTGAGGTTTATTTGATAAGTTACAAGATTTTTGTTAGGATTAAAAATTCCTTCTAACCTTGCTCGCACCCAGAGCTATAAAACTTAAAGTACAAATCAATTTTCTTTCAGAAGTAGGAAACATAATAAACGGATTTGCACTAACCATGCCAGCACAAGTTTTATCTTTGAGGAGTGTGCGAAGAAGATTACCCTAGTTACATCAGATTAATTGAATATCATTTACTAAGCTTAATCAAATAGCAATGTTTCGTTCAGTAATTTACTTTGAAACTTTCGTTCAATAATATTGGGTGGATTGGCACGATCGATCCGTGTTGGGTGGGAAGATGAAATCGAATTGGAGTGGGAGTCGGGGTCAAAGGGGATCAATGAACGCAGGCCTCCGCCGCCTCCTGCTGCTGGGGGCTAGGGTTTTATTCGGGCCTCCTCCTCCTGACCGCCGCCACTTTGGGCTGCAACTTGGGCCTCCGACCTTAGGCCGCAGCCCAGGGCGAACCACATCCCCTATGTTTTTTATTCCAATTCTTTACCTTTACTAGGAAATTTGTCCGTGCTTTGCAACGGGAGAAAACCATGGGGTGCAGAACCGGCTCCGCGGTAGTGTTGAGTGCTTTTATGGGAGGCCACCATCGAAGGGGGCGTTGGCAAGGAGGAGGGAATTAACCTGGGCAAGAAGATATTGCAATTGATAAGGAGGACCCGGGGGAGGCCAATGGCCCGGTTCCAAGTGGTGGCAACAAAGCTGTTGAGCTAGTCATCAACCCACGCAACTGCGTGAGCTAGAAATTTTCAAGACTTCTTTTTTATACTGAGTGGGTTTATATGTATGGTAGTCAGGATTAATAAAGCTCAAGAGTATCTGACATTAAAAAGGAGGCATCTTGTTCTTTTATTATGTATGCACTTTGTGGCAACCAAATAATATAGATGCAATAATGCGTTGAAGGGAGATGAAACTGTGCTCCAAATAGGTCATGTCAGATCCAAAGAGGTTGGCATCCTATCTAAAACAGGAACGTTGTATTGTTTTTTATGTGTAGCCATTTTCAAAGAAACCACTATATAGAAGCGGCATGGCAGATTAGTTGGTGGCATCAGGAAAAAGTATATTATGCTGGGCATCCTAACATAGAAGTTACATCCTATATGAATTAAATTTTTCTGGGCACCGTAAAATTGTTACCTTGGAAATTGGAATAAGAGAAATGTCAAAGTTAAGCCAAAGATGACGGAGCAACAAAAAAGAAAGATGATTAGAATGTAGATTGCTCAATATTTATCGTCGACCGCTAATTCAGGAAGTGCATTGAGCTGCAGATATAAATGATAATTAGAATGTTGAATGCTCAATCTCGATCGTCAACGATTAACTCAAGAAGTGCATAACTTAAGAGCAGCTCACAGGTCAGATCTCCCGTAAACTATTTATGACATGGAGCATCCGTGAAAGAGAAAAACTGATTTAATGAACTGAAGACCGTAAATATTGAATAAGATATGTGGCACAACATGTACAAAATCGCATGTTCGCCAAGGGATCCAACTTTAAAAAATTGATAATTGTAATTAGAAGTATCTCATTTAACTGTTTCAGGTCATCTAAATCTCGAAATGAAAAGCCATAAATACATGCATACATGTTATATTTTCGTATTTTTTCTGTATGTCCATTTAGTGTATCTCCAAAACTAAAAAAAGGCTGAAACATTTTATAAAAAGTTCCAACAACAAAGTAATTAATTTACAGCAAGAACATATTGTACGGATATTCTCTACCAAAATTCAAGCCTAAACGACAAAGTAATTAATTTACAGCGAGAACATATTATACGGATATTCTCTACCAAAATTCAAGCCTAATTAAGTTTCTTCTTTTCTTGAATGAAACATCACCAAAAATCCTAAAACATATATATTCTTTAAAATTCAGTAATCCATGTCACACAACCGGAAGAGAGAAGAACATGCATATAACTGCTAGTCGGAGGTCATCAAACCAACATGTTCAGTGTTTCAATTAGTTATCTTTTGAACACTCGTAGCCTTGTAATTTGGAACTAATCAAGCCGAAAATAGGAACTAGAATTATGTACTCTGTCATGAAATATATCTGTCAAATCTCAAATTTAACTAATTAGAATAAGGAAGCACTAAGGTCGCATGAAATCAGAAAAGTTCTACTGATCAAGTCAGAAAAGTTCTACGGATCAAGTCCTCATATCTGTGAGATATTTGGTGTTTATACTATATGAATTCTCTTAAAATTCAACGATGCTTTGTGTCGTTATTAATCATAGCAAAAAGGCCCATGCGTTGCAATGGGTAAAAAATAAATAAATGATTAGAAACCTAAAGAATAATAAAAGTATTATTATTATATTTCCTTGTTCATGATAATTGTCTTTATTCATGCTATAATTGAGTTATCCGGAAATCGTAATACATGTGTGAATAATAGACACCAGCATGTCCCTAGTAAGCCTCTAGTTGACTAGCTCGTTGATCAACAGATAGTTATGGTTTCCTGACTATGGACATTGGATGTCATTGATAACGAGATCACATCATTAGGAGAACGATGTGATGGACAAGACCCAATCCTAAACATAGCACAAGATCGTATAGTTCGTTTGCTAGAGTTTTTCCAATGTCAAGTATCTCTTCCTTAGACCATGAGATCGTGTAACTCCCGGATACCGTAGGAGTACTTTGGGTATACCAAACGTCACAACGTAACTGGGTGACTATAAAGGTATACTACGGGTATCTCCGAAAGTGTCTGTTGGGTTGACACGGATCAAGACTGGGATTTGTCACTCCGTATGACGGAGAGGTATCACTGGGCCCACTCGGTAATGCATCATCATTATGAGCTCAAAGTGACCAAGTGTCTGGTCACGGGATCATGCATTACGGTACGAGTAAAGTGACTTGCCGGTAACGAGATTGAACGAGGTATTGGGATACCAACGATCGAATCCCGGGCAAGTAACATACCGATTGACAAAGGGAATTGTATACGGGGTTGCTTGAATCCTCGACATCGTGGTTCATTCGATGAGATCATCGAGGAGCATGTGGGAGCCAACATGGGTATCCAGATCCCGCTATTGGTTATTGACCGGAGAGCAATCTCGGTCATGTCTACATGTCTCCCGAACCCGTAGGGTCTACACACTTAAGGTTCGATGACACTAGGGTTGAAGAGATATGTATATGCAGTAACCCGAATGTTGTTCGGAGTCCCGGATGAGATCCC